GATAGATAGATAGATAGATAGATAGATAGATAGATAGATAGATAGATAGATAGATAGATAGATAGATTTATAAAATATATATTTTGGCAGATTAGTGTTGCTTATAGATATTATACACTGATAAAAACACATTCTTTCAACACTTTAGTTTTTTCGATTTGTGTAATTATGCAAGATATTGTCAATGAAAGAATCAATCTACATAAAAATACAAAACCAACACTTGTTTTCTGCTAACTGTCACTAATTTTATCTAATTTTAAAAATGTATTTACAGTATTACATTTGAATTAAGACATTTTATCTGTTTGAAATGAAGACAACATTTATAAAGTTACAAGAAATTAGTTTTTAATGTCAAAATGTAATTTTCTTTGAAAAAAAAAAGAAATTTATGGGTGATTTTTAGCTTTATTTTACATTATGTATGTAATTTCACAATGTATGTATTTATTTATTTATTTTAGTTTTATTTAAATCTTCACTTTTTCATGTATAAAAATATGTTAAATGAGAAGGGAGCATTTTGTTAGTGGTTACCATGATTTAGGCCTGCCTGTCTGTAGATTACATGATCTACATTTCAGATCAAATGTATTTAATTTGTGTGAATGGAAACATTGACTGTTAGATCGTATACCTTGAAAATTCACAACATTGTAAAAATGCCTCTTTTCTTATTCTCCCTTCTACTAGTTTCTACTGTAGTTTCTTCTCCACAAACAGTTCAAGGAGCAAATCCTCTGCTGCTGTTTGTTATTACTAACCACCCAACGACTAACATAGCTGTTACCACTGCTGCTTCTTGGGGTAAGATACTCACTTGCATGTCTAATTCATTAAGGTATGTGTCATGAACTCTTCATCTTTCCTCTTTTTTTCCCCCTATGTTTTCCTTCTAGAAAAATGTCTTTTCACTCTGTTGTGAAGCCAATTTAAACATTTCTGAACTTGGACTTTCCATGCTGTTGTTTGAGCAAGTCATCCTCTACTGATTGGATCAACAGATAGGAATTAATATTTTAGTAAATGGATCATAGTTTGGTTTTGTCTCTGGGATTTAGTTCAATTGTGCTCAGGTTCTTGTTTTCAGAATGATTAGAGCTTCCTGTTAAAGCTGCTGTCATGGTACTAACCGTTTGATCAACCTAACCTAGTCATACAGGTTATCTCCTGGTTTGGTTTCCTCTCATATGCTACATATATTGACATAATCTTTAATTATTTTAGCTTGTTTTCGATCATTCATGCTACATAAATTCTAATCAAGGTACGTTTTTTTTAAATACTAACATTAGCCGTGTTTGTTTGGGATGGCTCATCTGATGTAAAGGTGTCATGTGCTGTGTTAGTGGTTTATGCTTGGAAATGCATTTTGTTACCTTTATTTATTTTCTGTAACCTGCTTTTTCACTATAATGGCGTCTGCTATGATGTGCCGTGTCCTGACAACAGCGGAGGAGACCACAGGGAAATCTCCAACCAAAGCGTCTGCTCTTGCTGCTCCTGCTGCTGCTGTAGTTACCCCTCAGCAGCCTGAAGCCCGTTCCTCAAAGTCCAAGCCTCTGGCTGCTGGGCCTGCTGGTCACCGAAGAAGAAAGATTTATGGAACAACTGCTGCTAGATCTTCTGTTTCTCAAGCTCCTAAACCTCCACCTCCTCCAATTCCTTTAAACAGACGCACCAGGTCTGTTGTAATTCCCAGCCCCTCTGGAGGAGCCTCTCATACCAGGTCCTTGGCATCAAGTCAGTTAAAACTTCCAGCCCAAGCCCCTGCCCCCCAACATCCAGCACATCAACCCAGACACTTAGCTCCATCTGAAACTACGCACCCAAGACCTCCAGCCTCCTTCCCCAGGGCCCCAGGCCCTCGCAGCTCCAAGACCTCTCTGGGGTTTATCTCAACCCCTTTGAGGAAACGGCCGAATGGAAGAAGACGTCCAGTTGTCACCAGAGCACCACCCAGGGTGGAGGTTCACATCACAAAACCTGCTATTCCACCAACCGAACCCAGATCCACAACCAGGTCTACACAAACAAGTGGATTCAAATCCACAGCTGGACTGAGAACTACAGCGCACATTTTGGGATACGCACCGCACACCACAGGTCGCCTAAATCCTACATCACCACCGACTTCCACGAAGGAGGCCGCTACAACCACTCAAGACTTAAAACTCCTTCGGCAAACTGGGGTGTCAGTGTCGCCTCTGGGGTCATCTGTGTGGCAACATAAAGGTGAGACATTAGACACAAGGGAATTCTCCCCAGCTGTCGGGGCAGCACCCCTGGCATCATCATCATCCTCACTGTTGTCATCAGCATCAGTGCTTAGCAACAGAAAGAACAAGCCTGTAGCGTCACAGTGGTCGCTACTGAGCATGAGCAGTGGGGAAAACCAAACAGTTGCTATGGGAAGCTGGACAGATCCTCTGGAGCCACTGGGCGATGAGTATTCGTCAGGCTCTGAGACTTTTGTGTATGATTTGACTGAGCTTGTGGAGGAGGGCAGTGCTTTCAACTTGTATGAATTTGATGTTGCCTACTCCTTGGAAGAACCCACCTCTAGTCCCAATGGCAAAAACGAACAATCCTTCAACGAATCAGAGCCGCACAGTGCTTCCTTTCCTGTCACACACCCTTTAACTGCTTCTGTGGGAGAAAGGGAACATTCTCTCACCCAAACACATTTCCACGATGACTCAGAAAGCCTGCCGAGTGGCTCAGCAGCAGGGAGCGAGCTTTCTTTAGAGCACTCACAGGATAGATTGATGCCAGAAACAGTTACATCTCTCCACACTCTTTCTCAAACCTACTATGGGTTTCCAAACAACACTAGTGCAAGTGGACTGAAGCTGAAGGAAAGTTCCTACACACAAGCTGCCGCTGAACGACTGACATTTCAGCCAACACCATCTCTCCTTATGCCCTCCTTTTCATCTGTTCTCGTCATACAGCCAACTCCCTCTTCAACCGTGGTACCACTGAGCCCCTCTGCTCTCCTTGCAGAGGAGGTTTTCACAAAACAGATCTTTTCTTCTTCAGTGCCACAGATGGAACACAAGGCCCAGATATCCATGTCCTCTCTCCCTGTAAACCCGGTGGGCAGTGTGTATGAGGCAGACATTACTAGAAGTGATATTGGACTTGAAGCAGCGAAAAGTAAGCTGATTAACAATTTATATCCAAGTACAAACTTATTTACACAGATGCATTCGTCTGTGGATTTCTTTCCCCTTAGATCATCTCCTGCTTTTCCCAAAACAACTTCTTTTGACATTTCTCACTACTCCGTCCTTCATCTTATCCTCCCTTCACTTCCCTCTCTGTCAGCGCCCTTCACCTCCCCTCATGCCATCAATCTCTCTTCTTCATCACCCGTCTCCCCCACTGGTATCACTCCCCTTTACTCAAATACTCTCACTCCCCTCTCAACCTCTCCTCCCTTCTGGGTGACCGCTGTTCCTCTTCCACCTTCTGCTGCCCCTCAGCAGCCCTCCCTCCTCAGACCTTCCTCTTCCCAACAGGCAGAGCGAAGAAATTCAGAACCAGATGATGTTGTTGAACCTGCTCATGTTCCACAGTCAGACAGCGTTAGCGAGAACTTTCAGCCTTCTCTGTTGTCATTTCTGTCACCGTCCTCAAACCTTCAAAGAGACTTTGAGGCCACAGTGGCTGACACAGCATCTTTGTTGTCACTTCCTCACTTTTCTGAAGCCCCGACTGAATCTCTCATGCCAGGGGTGGATGGTGCACTGCTCCCTGCAGAAAAGTCTTCAAACGAAACATCCAAACTTTTCAAAAGCCAATCCCTTGATGCTCAATCAGACTCCTTTAGTCGCATTAGCCCAACTCCCTCAGGATTATCTGTAGAAAATTTGGCATCCATTTCTGCCGAATTTTTATCAGATTTAGCAGCTCTGCCAGCCCAGTCGGAGTTGCCTGAGTTGAATCCGTCTGCGGCTTTATGGCCTTCCTCAGATGCAGCTGGTCTGTCAGTCACTCAGTTATTGGTTCATTCTGATCAGAGAGATGCGAGCGACGAATCGCATCCAGCTCATCGCTCTGATACTAGCTCTACCTCATTGCCAACAGCTGGCATTTGGGCCTATGAACGCACCCTGGCTCTGCTCCAAGCAAATATTGATAGAAAGCAAGATTTACACCCTGCTTCTTTGTCAGCTGCTTCCTCATCATCTTCGCATGCCGTTCTTTCAACGCAGAGTCCCCTTCGCCTTGACAACCTGTCAATCACTGTGTCTGCAGAGAATCTTCGTGCTGCCACGGTGACAGAGAGGATGATTGGTGAGGAAACAGCACTGCTTTCCTCCTCACCCTCTCCTCATCCTGTCACTGAGAACCCTCTTCTCTTGGCTCAGACATCTTCATATGGGTCGCAAGACAGATATACTTCCAGCCTGACCTTTAATAGGGATCCATTGAGCCTGCAGCAAGCAATCTCTCATTTACACATTCAAGGGAGCACAAACGCAGCCCCGGGTGCTCGCACTAACTCCGGAGGCTCACAGGCACTTGTTGACTATGACAGTGCATTTAATCACCCCACTTCCCCTTTGTTGAATCCATCTGTCGTGGCGCCAACCCAGATGCCGGCGCTCCACAGCGGCCTGAGTGCACAGCTTGGCGTTGCAGCCCCCCAGCACGCTTCAGGGCTGGATTATACACAGCACTCAGGCTTGACACAAGCTAACAGTGAAAACCCCAGCCGTGTGATCCACACACACAGTTCAGCACACACACACCTCAATGGAAGTGAGGACACCAGTCAGAGATTTGCAGAGGTGCATGTTAATGTTGGGGGGCTGCAGCAGCAATCATCCCACTCTCTTTCCTTTGCACCCACCTCCTCTCTACTCTCACCCTCCATTTTTCCTTCTCCTTCTCTTGCAGCACCTCCTGTTTCCTCTCTTTACCTTTCTCACATCTATCCCGCAGTCGCTCCCCTCTCATCTTTCTCCACTCCTTCTCTCTCCCGTCACTTCTCCAGCAGGGTGGCATTGCCAGCAGTATCTGCCAGCCTGACAGATGCAGAAATTGGCTTTTTGTCACCCACTTGGCCGACTGCTGGAGTCAACCAGCCCACAACAACCCAATCCCCCCTGGACAAATATTTACAGTCTTTACAAAGATCCACCACACAATCCGTTAGTCAGTCAACAGAGTCAGTAGAGCTGTTCATCCCAGACAGCCCAGCTTCCACTCTCCCTGATGACAAACTGAAATCCAGCCACTCACAGCCTCTTGCTTCCGTTAAAGTGGATGACAAGGAAGAGGTTTTTCCACAGTTTGCTAACAATTCACAGACAGTCGAAGCTTCCAGTTTTGTCAGTGGTTCACTGTTGTCACCCGAGGCCTCAAGTAACCTCAGTGCTGTTGGGAAATTGTCACATCTCTCCGCTGTGTTTGATCCTGCGGATGTTGTTCCAAAGATACATACTGCAGCTGAACAACTCTCTGCTGTAGAACTGGCTTCTTCAGCTGTGAGCACCGATGACAATGTAACTCTGGATGCAATGTTAAAAGCTGTAACAGGCCATCAGCCTAATGAAGGTCTAAATGTAGAAGCTGCCCTGAACACTGAATCCTTTCCTGCTGAGGTGCAAACTACCTCTCCCTGCCCCACTTCTGAACCCAGCAATCAGCATAGCTCTGCAGTATCAACACAACCAACCGGTGCTCTGGTTATTCCAAACCCCCTGCACTCTTCTGGCCTTAATATCCCCTCCGCCACACAAGCCTCCAGATCCCCCACTGGCTCCTCTATCGATGCCCCAAATCCCGGCTTCCTGTCTGGGCCTGTAGAACTCCCACGTCCAGCAAGTGACAACCACACTGTGGCCTCAAAATACATCTCCAAGTCAAATGCAACCGCTTTTATCACACTCAAAGACTCTCCTTCAGGGGCAATTGAAACGACAAACACCACAAAGGCTACAAATGCTACAAACTTCATAGGTAATGCAAGTCTAGAAGCATCTCGGGGGAACGTGACAGGCAATAAACCAATGCCAGATCTCAGTGAGAATGTAGGCACAAAGTCAAATTTAACAGTTTCAAAGCCGAGTTTGAACTCAAGTCCAAGCATGTCGAATCACAGCGGGAATCAGAGCTCAGGAGGTTTTGTGAATGGGGCCATGACCCAAGACCACAGTGGCAGCAATGTCAAAGACGAAAATATCAACCTTTCGCCTGTGCCACCTGTGGTTGTCGGTGCTCACCATTTCATAACCACAAAGAACTCCTCTCCAACGGCTCCATTCAAAGCAGTCAGTGCGTCAGTGAATAATGGCGACAGCGGCAGCCTCAAAAAGGCCACAGTGTACCCAACTCCTGGATCCCCAAGTGTAGCTGCCAAGCCATGCCAATGTAAACAACGCTTTCATTTTACATGTCTGTGTGGACTGTCATCGGGGAACAGTATGTTATGCAGTAACAAAAAACTGTAGATGTAGAAAAAATTATTTAAAAAAAAAATCATCTATATTGACTCTAGTTTGCACTTTTAAAAAAATAATCATCATAGTGTTTTTATATTGAGTCTTAAAGTCTGTTCAGATGGTACGACTAAAATGTTGTACAAGAAAATGCATTGAATTAAGCGATAATATAAGAGTATGTGGACCCCCGTGTCCACATTATTAGGGTTCTTTAGGTGTTTTGAAATGATGATGCTTCTGTCATACTGTGTGTTGCTGCAAGATTTGAAAACAAATATCCTAAAGTTGGTTAAGATCAATGGATTTTATTAATCCCTTTGACCGATAATGGCACTTTACATTAAGAAAAATAAAAGATTTTAAGACTCAATACATAGTTTAATTAGTTTTGAAGGTGGTTGGGTTTTGTAATGTGGTAGCTGAGTAGCAGTTTTTATTGAACAACTAGGTTCAGTAGTTCTGTTTGCAAGTAAATCCCTGTCAATCATATGAATGTATGGGATGCCTATAGAAGTGGAGGCTGGTGATTGGTTTGTCATGATTCTGGGTCAGTTTTCCAACATTAACATGGAGTTAATTTGACCAATCAGATTGTAACGTATAGTCTGGTACTTGTAGTCAAACAAAAGGATTGTAGTGTTTTGCCTCACTGTCTGTCTTACTTTTGTCTTTCTCTTTTATCGGGCTTCTGTACAATATCCAAGACTTTGGATATCTCTCGTTTCCTTTTCTCTTCTAAACTTTCATCTCCATTTTAAACACTTTTTCTTTTCGAAGGGTTTTCAGTCCATCAACCTACCTGGTAGAGACATCCTGCTCTGCTGCATCTGCTCTCAGACAGTAAATAATAGACTCCTCATCTGCATTTCACAGACTGCTGTGAAACGACCAGTTGCTTCCTTAACCTCCAGAAACAAAGACATATAACCAAATGTCTGCAGCTTGCAGGGTCTCCCATCAGAAGTGGTGGAGTAGAAGCCTTTTGTCCGTCCGGTAGCACCTACTAACATTTATAGATACTAGAGAGGCACCTAGTGGCCAATGTGAAGCATAGCAGGAGAGCTGACAAAACTGCCAAATTTAAATGAGACAAATAATTGACGGTAATAAACTGCTTCTGCTTTCAGGAACTCAGAGTCAGCAGGTCAGTCAAACTGCTAACAAGACAGAGAGCAGCTGGAGGAAGACAAAAAAAGTTGTAGCATTAGAAAGCAACTACTTATGAAAGCTCATCCATTATCTCAGATATGTTTGGACTGAACATCTTCAACACAGTAAAATTCCAAAAAGACAACAAAAGTTGCAAAGTAGCATTAAATCACTGTTTGTTTGTTTTTTTGTTTGTTTGTTTTTGTTTTTTTAAATGCATGCTTGAATACACAGTTGATTCAGGTCCCAGTTTGGTTTATGACAACCTCCAAATAATTCTGTTCTCTACACCAAAAACACAATTTGTGAAAGATTTAAGGCTACTATATTTTGTATTTTATTATGAGTTTAATTTGACAACTCTTTTTGATTTGTTTAAGTTAAGAAATATTAGAAAATAGTGAAGTAAAGTTAACAAATCCTCGGATTTAAGAAGCTACAACCAAACAAAAGTTTTGCACTTTTAAATTACACCTAACAAAAACCAGGTGTTGTCTCTGGATCACAGTGAGAATCATAGAACTGCTGCAACTTACAAAACTGCAATGTACTAAAACTCTACGTGAAAACTGAGTTGGGAAGCATTTTTTAATATGTTAACAGCATGTTCAATCTACATAAAAAATAAACAATTGTACAGTAAATATATGTAGAAATACTTAAAAGGGCAGTAGCAGACAAAAAATAAATAAATCTCAGTTTCTTTATTTGTAAAAGAAAAACAATGTTTGACAAAATGTTTGCTTGAGTACAACTGATTCACTTTAAATTTTAATGAACTCAAATCAATTGCAATAATTCATATAGTATATTTCATGCAGTATTTTATTCAGTGCACAGCAGGTCGTTTGAACAACAACACAATAATGTTCTCTCTGCAGGCAAGCTTGAGATTCTGCACAGATGAGGTCCAATATTTCCAATCATAGGTTCATATTTACTTATACTTAAACAGATTTTCTCTGTCAGTTTGCCGAGTCTTTAAGATTTTAGCAAATCTTTAAAGAAATTATATTAACAGGCAACAAACCAAACTCAACTGTCGTATCACTTTATTTCACTTTACAAGAAGCTTATTTGCGAAGTTACAGACCCACAAACTAGTGGTCCGTTGCAGTTTTCTAGTTTTTAAAAAAAAAAACACCTCTAAAGAATGTGTTTAATAAATAGTTGTGTTCTGTAATACTGTATGTGGTTAAGAGGGGAAAAAAAGTGTTAAATCCCGACAAAGATTGAAAAAGTTAATGACAGGGTGGATAAAGTGCTGCAGGCGGCAGAAACATGTCGTCCTGCAGCTTTTTCCTGATTCCCGACACGTTCCAAATGATCCCATTCTCCGAGAAAAGAAACCATAATGACTGCTCTCCTCTCCTCTCTGCCGTTGTTATCTGCCAGGCAGCACATTCCTCCTCATCATTATACTCTGTAAAATTGGATTTTTACATAACTCGATTAGCTCCATCCATCCTGCTCGATTCGTCTCCTGCTATGTGGCACAGGCGCAAAAAAAAATAAAAATCCATTCTGTGTGTGAAATAGCTTGTACCAAATGGAGACTGAAGTATTATTTTCTCTTTCTCTTGCAGAGGGGTTATTCTACCGGATTTCATTCGTGGTGGATGACGAGGGCTCGACGCTGAGCCTGGACGATGTGGAGCAAGCAGTGGCTCTCTGGGTAAGACGAGCTTCATTCAGCTGCTCCTGCTGTCTGCTGTAGTTTTACTCTAGTAAATGATGTAAGTTCAAACCCCAGTGTGGCATACTTCAGTAGCTTTATAGAATTTGGGATTACTGAAGGTGGTAAAAGGTCTTTTTTTTATTATTATTATTATTATTGCATTTCCTATAAAATTTGCCTGCACACTGAAAAAGTGATCCGAAAGCTTCAAACTCCTCAGATAACTGAGAGGTACAGCTTTATTAAAAGCTGAGAGGTGTTTTGGTGGATGGAACGAGGACTTTTTTTGTTTGCCAGATGTGTTTTCCATTAACTCTGTGGGTCGTGTTAACTTTGCGCTCTCCACCTCTCTTGTAGAGATTCACATAAATGAGAAGTCTGTGTCTCAAAGCGACCAGCTTTGTGGTTCCCCAACTTCAGAAGTTTCCTCCTGCTACCGTAATACAAAGTTAGAATAACATTATTTTAAAGTATGACAAGTTAGACTTTAAAAATGATCTAAAGTACAAATCCACTGTAGATTCTTGCATTTTTAAAGAAAATTTAACATCTTTTATTGTAATAATTCTGCTCCTCGGTATGAACCACGTCCTTATTGATGTTTGCATTGGTTTGATTGTCGTCACAAAGAATCTGAGTCTTCTGAAGCACAATGTTTTACTCCATGTCAGGAAAGTTTTAGCCTTAATTCTTGTAGTTTAATCATAGCAGCTGGACTCGCTTGAGGTTCTTGAAGACGTTTCATCTCTCATCCAAGAGGCTTCATCAGCTCTCAGTTCAGTCAGTTCTGATGAAGCCTCTTTGATGAGAGGTGAAACGTCTTCAAGAACCTCAAGCGAGTCCAGTTGCTACGATTAATCTACGAGAATAACCATGACCTGGATGACTGAGAACCTTCACAGACACTTTGAGCCTTAATGCAACACATGCGAGGAACCACACCACAACATTCAAACCATCTGCCTGTAGTTGTGACAGCTGTGACCCGCCACCACCGACTCGTCAGACCTCTGAAGGTGTTCTGTGATATCACACACCAAGACATCAGCAGCAGATCCTTTAAGTCGCCGAATGGGACCTCTGTGGTTCCTGATTTGTTGGTCCAGCACATCACACAGACGCCCGATCGTACTGAGACACGGAGAATTTAGAGGCCAAGTCAGCACCTTGAACTGTTTGTCATGTACCGCCAGCTATTCCTTTACAATGTTTGCAGCGTGGCAGGAAGTGTTATCCTGATGAGAGATGACACTGTGATCAGGGAATGTGTTGCTGTGGCTGATCGGTGTGTGCTCACAAGTTTTCTGAATAATTTAATGAGATCAGCAAATAATCCATTTGACTTTTAGTCTGGTGAAATCATGATTTTAAGAACTGATCATTTAACATTTTTACACTGTTTAAAAATGTCTTTCTTGCTGTTAAAGTTGCTTTTAAAGATGATAATTTAATTTTCTAGGGGCCGGCTATTTATGAGGACAACATGCTGTAAACACTGTGAATTACTTTAAGTGCAGCATACGGAAAATAAAAAAGTTTCAGTTTTCACCCACCAAACACCCGACGTGATGTAGACGTTGTTTTTTGGGCTAAATCTGGTCGGCCCGTCTGTCATAGCCTAGATTTATCCCAAATATAGTCATTGAAATTGGGTTGTTTTTGGACCGTCCAGTTTGGTCCAAATTGGTCGGAGGGGTCGTAGGCACAGAATGGCAGCCACACCTCTGTCAGTGTGCCCCAGGGCAGCTGTGGCTACAATCGTAGCTCCCACCACCGGAATGAATGTGTGTGAATGAATAATTGACAGTGTAAAGCAGGGGTGTCGAACTCCGGTCCTCGAGGGCCGCAATCCTGAGCTGATCATTTGAATCAGGTGTGTTGGAAGAGGGAAACATCTAAAACATGCAGGACTGCGGCCCTCGAGGACCGGAATTCGACACCCCTGGTGTAAAGAGTCTCTGAGTGTCTAGAAAAGTGCCATATAAATCTGATCAGTTGTTATTACTGTTATTATAAAAAGCCAGGTTGAACCGTTTTAGTGGGAGGGACTACAGTACCCATAATGCAACACAAGGTGATAAAGAGGCGTCCTAATAGAGACGCCTTTTTAACGACCTGAAACAGGCGGCTTTTCACGTTTCACTTTTCAACCAAATTTTGACATAGTTTATGGCAAAGACGGCTCTTCAACATTTCTTTTGCTGGGTGGGCAGCAACTGTTTCCATCCAGTACGTCTCCAATAACAGAACTAAACTCTGAAATGAGCGTGCACAATTCTTCTGTACACAGACAAATACACCAGAAAAGTAATAATAGTTTTATTGGATGACTGATTCTTTTGGTTTGTTTTCTTCTTGCAGCTGAATCAGACGTTTCAGAACTGGACCCACGCTGTCTACATAGATAACATCAGGTAATTCTGCAAAGATTTGTCACACTAACAAAGCACACAAAGGAGCTTTTCTTCACGGCGTATCGATGTCAGAGCAGGGTCCAGTGGTACTGTGTGCTCATGATTGTTTTTCATCTAAGAGGAGGTTTGTCAGCTGTTCAAATGTTCTTTTCTGTTCCCATTTCTCTGTTGGTCGTGGTGCTACAGCACACCAAACACTGACTACATACACATACAGACACAGAGTCTGACTTTCTCTTGCTATTTAAAATGATTCATCCTTGCTGCTTCCTCACTTCTTTAACTTTTTCTCTCTCCAGTGTTCAGCCTGATTTACAGACCGGCAGTAACCCGACCAGGTAAATGGACTTTATTTGACTCTGTGGTTTATGCTGTTGAGTGTTCATCAGCTCTTAGAAGTAACTCCAGATACTTGCCTCCAGTTACACCTGCCAGGCCCTGCTGGTTCACTACTACATCACCAATGAGAGTCTGGGTGAAGCTGCCGTGTCGGCACAGCTGTCCGGCAGACGGGGACTCGTGGGCACCGACCTGCAGATCCAACCTGCCTCCATCGACGTCCAGCTAATCGGTGAGATATTAAACTGTGTTTACTTATTTTGTTTAGATCTTTTTTGTCCTACAACATGAAACATCAACAAAAAAACACAGACAGATGAATGTCTGAATGAATTATTCATATTAGTTGAACACAGACTCTTCTTTTCTGTATCTTACTCCCAGAACTTGTATTATTTGATTTATGCCCTCCATTTGTTATTCATGAGTTTTGTTGATTTGTGTCCCGTTTCTTCTCTCTGGAGTTTTGCTGTCTGTACATTTCCTTTCCCCCAATCTCATGCAATTTGTCATCTTCTCCGTCTGTTGTTCTCTCCGGTGACTGTGCCGGTATATCATTATCAGATCCTCTGAGTTTTATTTGGCTCTCTTGTCCAGCCGTTACCGCATTCATCTTGTTTGTTACGATATCATTTTGACGTTCAGCCAAAACAGTGAATTTGGCTCCTGTTGTTCCTTCCAATAGAGAACTGTCCGGAGGAGAATCCTCTTCACTACCGCTGGCCTGAGAGCAGACCCAACGTCACCCAGTACCTGCCCTGCTTCCCTAACAAGGACCAGAACACCTCCAGGACCTGGTAACACACACACACACACACACACACACACACACACACACACACCTACACACACACACACACCTGGTACTGCTGTGAATAAACTGCAGCACTGATGAGCTTCATTTCTGTCACATCAGACTTGAGAGAGCTGCAGTTGAGCTACGTTGTGAATTTTTTTAAAGAAATTCAATAAAAAGAGAAACCAAGGTGCCAGAAAAAATACATTAAAAAATGTAGAACACTGGAATGTTGATGAACAGTAAAAGAAAAGACAAAGTATGTGAAAATAATGGCTAATATCTGGAAAAAAAGACTTGTGATGTGGCCATTATAAACAGTTTAATTTATTTATTTTTTTCAGTGATTCTATTGGTCAGTATCTGCAATTTAACAAAACAGGGAAATCTGTAAAATATCACTTAAAAAAAGTAGTTATTTATTTTTTAATATTTCATATAAAAACATTTTTAAATAAAAGCAAATATCTGTGAAATTGTGATTTTTTTTTCCTAATATGAATAAAAGTAAAATGTAAATGTCATGTACATTGTAAAAGAACTCATCACTATTTGTGAAACTACCGATTTTTGGTGGAAAAATTATTTTTCTCTACAGTCAACTAGTGAATTAACATTACGAGCTATTATGTGTAATTTACCAAAACAGGAAGAACAATTAAAATACCAGTAAATTATAAAAGAATTAGAAATCTGTTTACAAAAACTAAAATAATTTATTTTTTATTTTTTATTTTTTTACAATGTGCAGTTGCCACAGACGTGCTTTCATAAGACTTCTATGTACGTTCTGATCTACTCACTTTGACCTGCAGACAGAGACACACTTCTTATTGTATTTCTAAATCCTCCACAGTCTCTCAGATTCATAAAGCTCAAGGTGGTTTTGTTTGGCATCATAGTTGTGGAGCTGTTACTGACTGTGGAGGTGTTTATTTTATCAAACAATAAACTCAAACTTCTGGATTCTCTCACTGAGTAAACTTTTTTGAAGACACTTACACTTCAGGCCAATGTAGACTGAAATAGTGACTCAACAGGGACAGAAATGATGCTATGCCATTTTGGGAAAAACAAAACAACTCCAGAAGAACAAGAGAAGCACACATTTAATTATCAGTTTAATTGAATTTTTCATATATTTGGACTTCAGGGTGCTGCTTGTGTCTCTTTGCTCTTCTTTCCGTCTGCATATAAAATGAATCAGTCACACTGACTTTACTGTTCTTTGTTTAACGTCCATCTTTTGTTGTCAGTGTCAAGTCTTTGTGTTTCTGAGTCGAGCTGTTAATCGAGAATGCATGAAACATTCCTGAGCTTCACCATGAACATTTATTGAGGCAACCTCAACAGTTATAGTTATTATCAGCTCTTCATTAGATTCTGTAGATGAGAGCAGTTTTAGTTCAATTTCAATTTTATTTTATTTGTATAGCGAGGTTTACAACACGTTATTACACAGCACTTAACAAAGTAAGGTACAGACATTACAAATTTAAACAGAGAACCCAACAATCCAAACTAGGCTTTGGACTTTCTCTGAGCAAGCGGTTGGCAACGGTGCAAAAAAAAACCTCTGGCAGAACCAGGGTCAGGGAAGACGGCCATCTGCCATCGACCGGTTGGGTGAGAGTGGGGATGAGGGCAAACAACAGAACGGAACAATAAATATGAATTTAAGTATTCTGGGGGTCAGTGAGGCCAGCGGCTGCAGGTCAGAGACATGAAGCTCCGGATCCAGAGACGTCTGCAGAGAGAACAAGGACAGGACCTTTTGGGAACCACAGAGTTAGCATTGAGGATCCATGGTGCTTCCAGGACAGGACACACTGGAAACCTAATTTTCTGAGTCGTCCCTGTGAGCTTCCAGGAGCTGCTGCATTAATCACTGATCGTCAAACAATAGCTCTTTGCTCTCACCTCCCGCTAACAGATGGACCATTTCTCTTGTGGAGAAAAACACGCAGAAAGCAAACACTATTCAGGGGGTTATACAGACACTCTGTGAATACAAATGAAATTCCCAAAGTTTGCCGGTGATCAATTGACCTAATTCATCTTCTAAACCTTTTATCGTAACATGCTTAAGTGATATTATAGAGCTGATAGTGATCTACAAGTTATTAACGCAGTGGGCAAGATGCCTGCCGATCCTCTAAAAGCCTCTAATGTCTCAGCATAAACAGTGTTTATCAGCTGTGGACGGTTTTGGGATTTAATTAGAGACGAGTCGATCCGTCTTATTTTCGCTGTTTCTTACTTCTGTTTACATTTGCTGTTGATGTAAACTCAGTGTTAACCTGTTGTACTCATAAATCCATGATAATGTGCAGCATTCATTCTTTTAGAACAGCTACTGAGTCATGTCTTCCTTATGACTCCACACAAAATACACTCTCTTTTCAACACTGTTTTCATCTAACAGTTAATTTTAACCATTTAATTGTTGTGCTTTTAACTGTTGTGCAACTCAACTCTGCATGTTCTGATGCAGCTGGAAAAGGCTGCGGGTTCAAATCCTGCATTGAATTTTGTGCAACCAGCTCTTTGTTGCCCATAGTTACATCTCATCGTCTCTCTATAGTTGCCATAGTGATGATGATGGGAGCAAAGAGAAAAATTGGTGTTGGGAGGAGGTTGGGGTTGATGGATGGGTCCACTTGTGTTGGTTTCTCCTTTAAAGCAGATTATTAATGTCACTTTTAATCTCAACTGTTCTGTGACTTTAACTTCATGTTTATTGCAGTAACGATGATGATGATGATGATGATGATGATGATGATGATGATGATGATGATGATGATGATGATGATGATGATGATGATGATGATGATGATAATAATGATGATGATGATGATGGTACTCTATTTTAACCCAGTCCCTGAGAGACAAAAAATAGTCGGTAGGGAATTCAGAAAACCCTCTAATAGATTGTATTCTTGGGGGTGGACAACCTGAATGGTTATTCAGACTGTAGCACTTGTTGACTGGCAACAATAAGGCACTGGTAGTTTGGCTGATTTAAGGCAGATTTATTGTTTGGCATCGATGTCCGTTTGCATTCCACTTTTTCAGTCCTTCTGCACCGACTTCAGCCTCAAGTCCTGGCAGTTGGAGCTCGATCATGCTGCTCCCAGTAGGTCTTTGTCGACAGAATGGGGGATTATAGGTCTGCACCTCACCTGGGTCTCCTCAGGATGTTTTATAGTAAAACTCAGCGCTAGTCTCTGCTGTCATTGTTTTGCAGAAGGTTCCTGTTAAAATCAGTACCAAAGAGGACATTTCTTTTATCTTTGTGCTGACAAATATAAAAAATGCTTTTTCCTTTTGTCGCAGTTTGATCGATCGACAGAACTACACGTCCTACTGGTCGGCTGCAGACTTCAGTAACTGCACGGACATCGACACCATTGAGGTGTCGGCAGGTACGCCCAACCAATCAGACGTCAGGCAGATACTAAAGCTCAGGTCATAGGTAGAATATAATCTAAAATATACAGTTAAGATTGGTGGACAGATGCAGCGAACAGGAAAGTAATGATAGCAAAGAAATGCTGTAAATCTTTTGTTTAGGTACATATAGCAAAATCACAATGTAGTCTCATAATTGAAAAAAAAGCCAATATTGGCCACGAAATATGTTTAAAGTTAAAAAAAGTTATGTAGTTATTATTAAATGTGTTCATCTAATGCTGCAGCATGTTTAATCTGTAGCAGGTGATTATAGATTTTCTGTGTTGAATCATAGGCAGTTTTTATCCTCCAAATGTCATCACATTTTGGTATGAAACAACACACAGTATGTGGAAAATAATTTGCCTACGTGTCTTGTTTTTGTGCAGAAAATGCAGCTGAGGTGGCGGACCAGCTCTTCTTCATCACCAACAACGAGCTGTCCATCGAAGAGGTGAGAACTGCCGCGTTCGACCGAACCTGAACGTCTCGATGAGGAGAGTAAATTAAACCGTCTTTCTTTATAACTTCCTCAGGTGTCTAAAGTGGTGACGAAGGTGAAGCAGCTGGTGAACGTGGCCAAGATCAACACCACGTTAGCTCACACCGTCGTCACCATCATCTCCAACGTCATGACCAGCTCGGAGACGGCGCTGTCGGCCACCTCCGAGAAGTATGGCCTCAATACACACCACATTGCTGTATACATTCTCGCTCTATAATGTGTTACACTCTCTCTGCTGTACTGTACATGACTTTGTTGTTTGCAAGTCTTTCCTATTTTATCCTCCATGACAGTGTAGTCAGTGTCCTGTAGAATAAAGTACAGCATGTTGCAGGGTTGTTTCCCTTCAGTCATATTGTGCTGCAGTGATATTTTACAGCAACATATTTTACAGATCTCATGTCTGCTGCCATCTTGTTATGTGAATTTGAATCATTTAATTATAAATTCAATCCAGTTTCTCTTTAACTTTTTTTTTTTAAACTTTCTTCTCTTGTCTGTCAGTCCATGTTTAACACTGTATTTTTGTTCGCTCAGAAAATGTCCGTCTGCTGATTCAGTTCATGCTTCCAGGGTGTTCTGACAAACTTTTTCTTGTCATTCTTCCTCTCTCTCCTCATCAGAGCTCTGAAGACAGTCGACGAGTTGGTTCAGAAGATCGAGTTCGAGGGCCAGTCCATCAGCATCACCTCCAGACATCTGGCTCTGGGAATATCAGCCCTCAACACCACCATGTTCAGCGGGATGTCTTTCAGCGCCTTCTTCGCCCCGAACACCACCGACCCCCAGGTTATGACCGGCATCATCGAAGTATCCCAGAAGGATCCTTCTGTTGGGCTTTACTCACTGTTCATTTATTTTGAAGGAGACTTTCCATCTCCGCCAAGTTTGGACAAACAAATTCACCAAATAGACTGAAAGATTTCATCTGTCACTGTGAATTTCATTTGAGTGATGATTGTTTCCTCTCTCCTCTCGTCTTCCAGATTGACTTTGACTCAGAGAGGGTTAACCCTTTAGCTCAGATCACCCTTCCTCCCTCTCTGCTGTCCAGCGTCTCTCTCAGCGAGGTCGACAGATCGTCTCTGTCCAGGATCAACTTCATGTTCTTCAGCAGCACCAACCTCTTCCAGGTCAGAGATCACAGAGTGACATTCTGCACTGCACGATGTTTTATGAAGCCTTAATGTGGATAAATAAAGCCACAGAGCGGTAGCAGTACCAGGTTAATGTCTATGTCATTGCTTTCAGAAAGAGCAGGACGGTCGCTCTTTAAACAGCTATGTGGTGGCGAGCAGCGTGGGGAACTTCTCCATCAGTAACCTGGAGGAGCCCGTCGAGATCGAGATCGCTCACCTTCCTGATCAGGTACGATGAGACTCTTTACTGCATGTATACATATGTGTGTTCACATTGTATTGTTGTGCTCATTTAGAACTTTTTGTGTGTATTAACATTTTTTTTTTTGTTTTATTTTTTAAAGATTTTCACTTTTGTTAGTTCTTTATCATTTTCTACAAATTTCCATTTTCTTTTTCTTTTTTTTGTATTCATGCTTTTGTTTTTCTCGTTTTTAACTTAAATTGTTGTAATTTTTTATTTTCTTTTTTGGTTATTTTATTTATCTCTTCTCTATATTTAATTTGTGTTTTGTTTTTTTTTAATTTAAATAGTTTTAGTTTCTCTCTCCAAAATAAGGCTTTGTTTTGTGAATGTTGGGGGTTTGGATGAAATACATTCAGATTTGCAATACCTAATATTTCACGTAATTTCTGGCAGTGTGGAGAAGGCTTTAAAATACAAGTAAAGCCTTGAAAGGCTGAAGTACAGTTTATGGAAAGTGTTGCTTTTTCAGCTTTGTGCTTTCTGTGTTTGGGGTTGCTTGGAATTACATATTTCTAAAAATCCTGGCTTTAAAATGCCTCCAGCAATACATAATGTTGTTGGAAACATTCAGTTACACAAGAGATTTGAATGTGAAGAACATAAAGAATTAAAGCCAGGTGTGAGTGATGCCTGTGATGATCATAAACTGGGCCGGAGCAGCTGCTTTGGTGACCTTGCTGCGATTTCATTTTTCTTCTGTCTTGACAGCCCTCCCTGAATCCAGCGTGTATGTTCTGGGACTTCAGCATGAACAGTAAGTCTGTCTGCATCTGCATCACTTGAAACATTTCAGGTTCACTAACAGGTTCTCTGATCTGCAGGGAGTCATTTTTACCAGAAACAATATTCATCAAGTGTCTTGAGAAAAACATCCCACCTGTAAAAGATCAACTCGGTCACATCCTTTGGGGATTCTGCTGCAGATTTACTTCGACTGCCTCCTTCATGAGGGTGCTGTTAACCGACCATGTTGGTATTTGTCTCTGTACAAATACATTTAACGAAATCTGGCAACTTTATGACACCCTCTTGCCGGTTTAGGGTAGAAACGTTTTACTTCTCTGTCATATGAGCAGCTGCCCTCAGAAAGTTCCACCAAAGCAGAGATTGTTACACCCACAATGTATTCATGCAGGACAAAATTAAATAACGCATTCCTGGTGAAAAACTAATGAAATGGTGCTAGTGACTAGTACATCCTTAAATATTTGTGCTTTTAGGCAACTCTATATTCAAGTTGAGCCAAAATCCAACAACATTTCCTTTTGGTTATCTTTTCATTTACAAAGTCACCGTTTTGTAAGAAGGCACGTTAATGGAACATGTGATGTAATACCCGTGTGTCTCCGCTAGATGGAGCTGGAGGTTGGAACGGAGACGGCTGCAGCGTGTCCCCAGAATCCAGCAGCAACAAAACCATCTGCCTCTGTAACCACCTCACACACTTTGGCATCCTCATGGTAAGACTGTTGTGTGTCAGTTTACACACTCAAAAGGGCAAAAAAATAAATTAAAAAAATGACAATCCAGATGTATTTCTGCAAGCTGTGTAATTAAACCCGTAAAGCATTTAGCAAACATTCAGTGGTTCCTGATTGTTTGCAGGGCCTGCATGGTGGCTCGGTGGTTAGCACTGTCGCCTCGCAGCTAGAAGATCCCCGGTTTGTGTCCCGGTTAGGAAACCCGGGATCTTTCTGCGTGGAGTTTGCATGTTCTCCCTGTGCAGTGTGGGTTCTCTCCGGGTTCTCTGGTTTCCTCCCACAAAGTCCAAAAACATGTTGAGGTTAATTGGTGATTCTAAATTGTCCGTAGGTGTGAATGTGAGTGTGCTTGGTTGTCTGTCTCTAAGTGTAGCCCTGTGATAGACTGGTGACCTGTCCAGGGTGTCCTCTGCCTTCACCTTGAGTCAGCTGGGATAGACTCCAGCCCCCCATGACCCTGGTGAGGATTAAGAGACGTATAGATAATGGATGGTTCTTTGAACACACATCATCCAGTCATGCAATAATACATTTTATTTATAAAGCGCTCAAAGACGCTGCACTGTGAATAAAACCAACATGCAAAACAACAAGAGCAGAAAGCATCGAGTGCATTTAAAAACAATCATACATTCAAAGCATTTTTGTAGAGGTGAGTTTTGGTGGGTGATTTGAAAGTGGATAGGTTCGGGTAGTTACAGATGTTTGGTGGTAAGGAGTTCCAGACGGTGAGGGTGGCAACAGAGAAAGCTTGGTCCCCCCAAGTTCGCTGCTTGGTGTCAGGTGGTATGGAGAGGAGGTGGGCATCGGAAGATCAGAGGTTGCGAGAGGGGGTGCAGCGGTGGAGCAGGTGAGACATGCAATGTTTTTCAGGTGGAAGAAGGCAGTTTTGGTGATATGATGTTCCAGATTGAGTTGGAAGTTGAAAATGATTCCGAGGTTGCGGACCTGTGAGGACGGGGTGAGGGAAGTGCTGTCAGTGATGAGGTTGAAATTGTTGGTAGTTGAGGTGAGAGGTTTGGAGCCGATGATTAAAAGGTTCTCGCAGTTGAGTTAGAGGGAGTTAATGTTCATCCAGGATTTGATTTAGTGTATGTAGTGTATTCACAGTACCATCTGAATGCTACAAGATGTTGAATTCAATTACACAGTCCATTTTTAATGTGTTTATTTATTTATTTGTTATTTTTTTATTTATTTATTTTTTTTTTTTTTAATTATTGTAAAGTCAGTCAGGAATAGACTTTGCATCCACATTTGGTTTCTTTAGTTTTTCATGTAAATTCCGTTCCGTTCAAGTTCTGATGCTTCTTTATTTTAGCGTTTGCTGCTCAAATTGCTCGTTGACTTGATCTAACTGTACTTGGCCTCTGTCTGTCTTTCTCTTTAGGACATATCGGGAGCTTCACCCCACATCGATCGCAAGAACAACAAGATTCTGACCTTCATCACCTACATCGGCTGCGGCATCTCTGCCATCTTCTCTGCTGCCACGCTGCTCACTTACATCGCCTTTGAGTGAGTCTGTCTCCAGCTGCAGTCCTTTACTGTTTAATCTGTGCACGTTAGTTTACAACTGCATCCCATGAGGGGACTTTACTCCTCCAGTGCAACACACATCAGCTGATTGCAACGTGACAACTTTGCAATGTTAATGACTTTTGTCTGAACTATTTTCCTTTGATACACTGAATTTAAGGTGTAAAGGTCCAAAAATATTACTGATGCTAGTAATTTTGTGTCACTTGACTCTGGCATCCTGCCTTCAAACAAGTCAGGAACATTTCTGACAGGTTGGTGTGATGTTTGGCTTTTAGCCATCAATGTGTTAATCTAAGTTACATTACATTACATACATTATTACAAGACGGTTACAGAAGGTGGTGAGATTGAAACGTCTGATCAAGAAAAGCATTTTGACTTCTCCCTAAATTCAGTCCTATCTTGTATTTATCTAAAACCTCCAATCATGGGGAGCAATCAGGACCAGAAACAGCAAGAGAAACATGAGAAACTCTTTGAGGTCCTTCAGAGGTTTCGGGCAAGAAATCTGATCAGCCAACTGTTTCGTTGGTTAAGGCGAGACGCCGTCAATATGCGCGACTGAAAACGTGCACAGACCACAGCAAAAATGACAACAAAATCAAAATTCAACCACACAGCACTTTCTTTTTTTCCCCTTCAGAAAGCTGCGACGTGACTACCCGTCTAAGATCCTGATGAACCTCAGCACGTCCTTGTTGTTCCTCAACATGGTGTTTCTGTTGGATGGCTGGCTCGCCAGTCTGGAAACCGATTGGCTGTGTTTGTCCGTGGCCGTCTTCTTGCACTACTTCCTGCTGACGTCCTTCACCTGGATGGGGTTGGAGTCCATCCACATGTACATCGCTCTGGTCAAAGTGTTCAACACCTACATACGGCGATATATCCTCAAGTTCTGCATTGTGGGATGGGGTGAGTCGCTGATTCTTTGGCTTAAGCTATGATGGGATGTCAGCTATCTCATTTGATCTTGTTTATTTTCCCAGAGGATAATCTCGGAGGGTTGATTTAAAATAATACAGTTAGTGGTATAAATCAAAGTTTGTCTTGCCTAAATGCCTCCTTTTGTTCTTCTAAAGCATCTACAGTCTGCAACACTAACATTAGCTTAGAAATTGTGGGAAATAATATTAACAAACAAGCATATTCCAGCATGGCGCAGACTCCAATACAAACTCCATGTAAGCACAAAGAACAAAAAAGTTTTATCTAGTGAAGTCCATCTGCCAAACTGGTATGAGATCAATAATCGGAACACAACTAGGGTTAACATCTGCAGGGAGATAGTCTGTGTTCTCCAACACAGTTAATAATCAAACTATAATAACCGTGTAACTGTAGTTACCTCATCTGTCAACATGGTGTCAGTTAGTCATGTTCAATCTCGTGTATGTCATATCGATGTTTTGGACAATGACTGGATGCTTGCTTGCACCTACCTACAGGATGCTGACTGCAGTTCACCTAACAGTGTCAATAATATCAATTCTTTGTGAATGTTACATAGAGAACCTTTAAGTTCACACTGTGGAATGGTTTACTTTGGTGCTTTCTAGTAGCGGTGGAAGAAAAATGTTTTATGAACTATTATATAATATTTGACAGTTTGATGGAATTCATTAGTTGTTCAAACAGGGGTGATACAACTAAGAGACAGATACTGAGATCTTCTCAGACAACTGATTTATTTTTGGTAACAGATGGACATTTTAAGTCTTCATCCCCAACACCTGACATGATATGAGATTAACTTCATTCTGATCTGTGTAAATGTGAAAACTGCCCACAGTTGGTTTTGTAGCAACAGAGTCAAGAACGTAAGACGTAAGAGCTCTGACATTAACCTGAGGGTTGTTTATGGTTTATTCCAGGTCTCCCTGCAGTGCTGGTCGGGATTGTTGTCGCAGTGGATAAAAACTCTTATGGCCTGAGAGAATACGGCAGAGGAGAGTCAGAAGAGGACTCCTCAGAGTTGTAAGTGAATACAGATTCAGAATAATAAGTCAAACTCAACAGTATTTCTGTCATTCACTTCACATTGCATCACAGGACCAAACATAAATGGTGTGAAAACAAACCTGGTCTAATCATTATTTTCACTATCAATTCATCTTTTGATTAGATTCTCGAGTAATCCATTTGACAGAATGTTGTGAAGATGTTCTTCAGAGGGTTCCACAATTAAAGATTCTCAGTTTAAACTGTTATCAAATGAAGAAAACGTCTTCTAGCATGTTAAATCCAGCATTTCTATCCAGTTTTCTAGTTTTCTTCATCTCCGCCTTTGTTGACACACAGCTGCATATGTTGACATGTTTCTATCACGAGTTGATCACTAGATGATGTGAAACGCTTGTTGCAACCTGCATACGCACATTCTTGTATCTTCATCTGTAAGACACACTGAGCCCACTCCTTGAGAAGCAACTCCATGGAGCTACTACGAGTCAGAAACTGAACAGGGAACATTTAATGTGCACAGTCAATATTTTCAAAGGAGGAAATTTCACGTGAACATGTGAGAAGCTGTTGTTTTTGGTCTTAACCTTGCAGGTAAACGCACAGTGTTCCAGCAAACCTAGACAACTTTAGATTCAGTTTCTGTTGGTTTTGTCTATAAACACTATCACGATGTCTGATACAGTTCCAACATTAAAACCACTGACGGGTGAAGTTAATAACTTTGGTTATCATGTTACAGTGCCACCTATCAAGGAGTGGGATGTTTTAGGCAGCAAGTGAACAGTCAGCTCTTTAAGTCGATGTGTTTGAAGCAGGAAAAATGGGCAGCGAGGGACTTCAAGAAGAATCAAATTGTGGTGTACCAGCTGTACATTATGGCATCTATACTAATATAATGGATAATGTCGTAGAAAAAGACAAACTCCACTTTTAATAGATTTGTGGAGGGGACTCCACTTCTAGCCTAAGAACACATTCACAGGAGCAACACTGAGGACACGACCTTGTTCTCACCAGCCCGTCTAACAACATTTACTGCAAACACAAAGGACGATGTATCATTCAAGTCAGCAGGAAGGCCTTTCATATTATGAAAGCACACTGACTCTCTTTGTTATCGTGGGAATTAGCGAGCGTTTGTGTGTTTTCTCCTTAGCTGTTGGATCCAGAATACGGCCGTCTTCTACATCACCTGCGTCGGTTACTTCTGCCTGGTGTTTCTGCTCAACGTGGCCATGTTCATCGTGGTGATGCTGCAGATCTGCGGCCGCAACGGCAAACGCAGCAACCGCACCCTACGGGACGAGGTCTGCGTGATTTGATTGTTCATCGGCTGATAGTGATTGTCTGTGACACAGTAAAGAATATTTCCATGATTATCTCAATGGATAGTTCCCAGAATTTCTCACAAGGTGACCTGCACAACTGTTGAATTAGTGAGGTGGGGAAAAGTGTCAACAACCTTTACACCCATTTGAACTTTATTTCATCAGGATGGTGCCCAAAGAATATGTATCTGTGAGGTGGTCTTAACATTTAGACATGTTTAACTTTATTTTGCGTTATTTTTTTGGTCTTTTTGCCTTTATTAGATAGGACAGTCGAGAGAGAGACAGGAAAGTGGGGGAGAAGAATGGGGGAAGGACTTGCAGCAAAGGGCCATGAGCGGGATTTGAACCCATGGCCGCTGCATCGGGGGCTACAGTCCCTGTACATGGGTCGCCAGCTCAACCAGTTGAACTATAGCGGTGGCCTGACATGTTTAACTTTTATTTCACTTTGAAATGTCCAACAGAGACAAAAAGATAAAAAGCAATAGAAAAGATATGACAGCTGAAAACAGTCACACAACATGACCCACCTTCTGCAGCCTTGAAAAGTTGTCAGCTGAAGTTTATTGTGCCTGTTGCTGAAGAAAAAGAAAGTGTAAGAAAGGACACAAGGGGGACTGCCAAATGAGAAATGTTTAGTTCCATTACATCACTCTGAAGCAATGACAGTTACTGATGACTTGCTGCACCACACTCCTCGTCTCCTCAAGATGCATTCAAATAAGATCCTCCATTAAGGTGTTGGCGAAATGGACACAAGGAAGCATAAGTTAGCGTCATTAAAGCACCTGATGAAAGGAGGAAAACTTTTAGAAAACATTGAACATCTCCCTTGATTTGATCCAGGTTCTACGAAACCTGCGGAGCGTCATCAGCCTCACCTTCCTGCTGGGTATGACGTGGGGCTTCGCTCTGTTCGCCTGGGGACCCGTCACCTTGGTTTTCATGTACCTGTTTGCCATCTTCAACTCACTGCAAGGTGAAGCAACCGACCTGTTTTTGCTGTAGTTAGCGAGACACTGCATCTGACACCAATGGCGAGCAACAGTTATCTTAGCTGGATAACAGCCTCCAATTATCTGTGCTCGATGGTTAAGAACCAGCTGACTCCAAGTTGTGTATCACAGGGTGTGCACCTACTCGTAAACAGGTACCATGGAGTAAAACAAGCAACTTATGGAAAGTTTGTGCAGTCAAGAGAAAACAATCATATGAACAAGTTGCACAGAAAGTAGAAGTCTAACCTGACATATTCATATCCTTTGTTCTGATCTCAAAGTAGTCAAATGAAACTGCAGGACTTGACCTAACTTTGCCTCGTTTGTCACAATGGTATGGAATTACTTAAGCAGAAAACACATTTTCCATTTTGCAAGTCGTGCAGTATCCCACCTTCTGATTTATACTTTAAACCTTCCCTTATACCTTATATAGACATCTCTACTGCCAGCATTTTAGCACAACAGTTTCATGACGTGTTTGCCCCCCTTGGCTGACTCTTACAATGGCCAGAATAAGAACATAAAGTTAATTCATGAAATTACCCTGAATATAGCCTACAACTCATAGGGTTGATGTAAAAATGTTCTTGTATGAGCCCCAAGTCATTTTGGCCCAGTGGACAGTCAGTTACTTAGACTTCGTTCTGTGTGACCTCCACCTGGGTTTTGTTGTGTTGGAACAATTCATTTTCTCATGCTGTTCCTTCTTTCCTCAGGGCTCTTCATATTTATCTTCCACTGTGCCCTGAAAGAAAACGTGCAGAAGCAGTGGAGGAGATACCTCTGCTGTGGCCGATTCAGGCTTTCAGACAACTCAGGTATCCGTCCGTCCGTCTGTCTATATATTTGTCTCGGGTTGAAGCTGGTTCACGTCTCTCCACAGGAGTCCTGTCAGATCTGTCTGCTGGACTTCTGCCAGATTCCCATCACAGCCAAAAATAAACCCCAAAACAAAACAAAGACACTTTATTAAAATATAAAACCTAAGTCACCACGGCTTTGCAACTAATAAAAAAAGATAAAATACAGTCGTCTCTCAAAGACGAGGAAGTCCTCCAGGTGCTCTCAGTCTGAAGATGAGCTGTCCTGGTACCATTTCATTTATAAGAAAGCGCATGAATCTGTGCACTTCCTTTATGCATTCGACTTCATACCAAAAAATCCAGATTAAGTTGATTTGTGTGCAAAAGCCTCTGAAGTGTAGCCACTGAATTCTTTCGTAAAACCTGGATCATAGAAAGAAGTACATTTACTCTGGTACAAGTTTAAGGAATTTGTAATTTAACTGATTTTTTCCATTTTTTGCTACTTTACACTTCCACTCCACCATCAGAGAAATGCTGATCTTTCTGCTCCACCACATTATTCTGACAGCTTTGGTTGTCTTTACGAGGAAGATTTGACGCAACAGATAGTATAACACATAGATGAGAGGTTTCCAAACTATGTGTCATCTTTCATTTTCGCTGAAGTTGTTGACAGCTCCAAAAAATAATGTATTTTTATCTGTAAACTTCCCACATGGTTTCATTCTAACAAATGCTTCAATGGTCTAATAATCTAATTATGTCATATATAATAATATATCAGCCAGATGGACCAAAATAGGACTTTAATACTTTAACTACATTTGACTGCTAAAACCTTTACTTAAGTTAAATTTTTCACACAGTACTTGTAATGGAGTACTTTTACTTTGCTGTGTTGTTACTTTTATTTAAGTGAAATGATGTGAATACTTCTTTCAGTGCTGCTTAAATTATATTGAATTAGCTGTACAGTAGACTGAATCATATCCTTCAACCCCAAAGCAGATGAGACGGATCCAACATTCATTATTAGTTCTGTGCTGAAAAGGAGCAACTTATTCGCAGGTCAAACAGCATGAAGCGTTTATGTCAGTGAACAATTTGTACGCACACGCTAAAGCAAACAGGGGACATTTCCATTTAGTTTTCATCTGTGAGCTTTTCAGCCTAATTTTTTGCATTTTTAGTTTTATTGACTGCGTCGGATGCCAGGACACATTAATAGTTATATCTCATTCGCAGCTGGAAATGTGATACAATAACACATAATTGCAGTCCCTACTGGGTTTCCTTCATATACCTTTGAGTGTGGTGGTTGAATAGGCAGTAAATTTGCTTTTTATGTGGTATTAAAAAACCTTAACTTTAACCAGGTGAGTCCCGTAGAAACCCAACAAAGTCTAAAGACATATATCTCTTATCAAAACATTCTTTACCGCTAACAGACAGCAGACTCTGCTTTCCCTGACTAAATACATCATAACACTTCAAATAGAAAAAAAGTCAAACAAAGCATCTACCCTGTGTTACACCCTCCTCAATGAAAACATTAAAGGAGGCCAGGCTGATCTGGAGGTTTACTGACTGATTCGTTGGCTTTTCTGATGCAGACTGGAGTAAGACGGCCACCAACAACACGAAGAAGGTGAGCTCAGACAACCTGGGCAAGTCTCTGTCCTCCAGCTCGTTCGGCTCCAGCACGGCCAACTGGACGTCCAAGGCTAAAGCCACGCTTAACCCCTTCACCAAACGACACAGTAACACAGGTGAGACCCACCGTGAAAAACACAGAACTGGAGGGGAACAAGAACGCGAGAAACACCTAATATAAAAATAAAGTTAGTTTGAAAAGAAAACTTTGATTTTGTTTAGACAGCTTGTCTGAAATTCATTTCAGTCTGAGAAAACACCTCAGGACAGGGGCTTTCTGGATTTTTATTGCTTTAATAACACATAAAGAAGGTCTCACTCTAGCTTGTTCATACGTACATAAACCCAGACTGTTACACTGTTTTCTCTGAATGTGGATTGAAAAATAGCAAAAAATCAAGTTTACATGCAGACTCATTAGTTTTCCTGACTACAGTGTAAGTGCAATGGAGAGAAATGATGACTAGAACTGTGAAAATAACTCAACATGTAATGAAGTGTAATTATCCTTTAATAGAGTGGCATCAACTCTGGACAAAGCATTTATTCTCTTGTTTGAGAGTCTGATGTTCAGATATTTGCCAGTCTTATGTCTGTTTGTTTATTTCAGTGTATTGGAGCTGGGGCATGGTTAGCCTAGCTTAGCACAAAGTCTGGAAGCAGGGGGAAATGGTTAGGCTGCTCTGTCCAAACTTCAAAACTATGCTAACACAAAAGGATCAACATATTGTCATATGTCAGATTTTAAAGGCTGCCGTGATGCAAAGTTTAGATATCGGCACAAAAACAGGCCAATTCCAACGACGCAGGATGTCGGGATTGAAACTGCGTGACGCAACGGATGACAACCAATGCTGCATCTTGGACACCTCATGAAGTCTTGACAAAAAAAGACCATGTTTTTTTAGTCAGAATTGTACACCTTCACACTTAGCATGTAACCACTTCCACACATCCACGATACTGACCAGAGATTGTAACCATAGCGAAAGTAACAACAGGCTAAAAACTACCCTCTTGATGCAACCAACAGTCATTTCCCAACATAAGATATCCAAATCAGACACACCGCTTCGGATACCATGGTTTATCCAATATTTTTTGCCTCACAAAGTTGGTCTCCTTCCCGATGATATCACACGGGTGATTGTTTGGGAACCAACATACAGTCTGTCATGTCTCTTGGTCAAATCACAGAGAATTTATGACTTTATAGTATAATCTGACACAGTGAGTATATTATCAGACCGAAACATCCTGTGATCAGAATTTGGCCTCATACGTTTTTGCTGCCATGTAGGAAGTTAATTAAACAAAGTTCATAGCATCTCCTGACGTCTTTGCTAAAGAAAAAAGAAAGAAACTTGAAAGGAAAAAGCGACCAAGAATTGCAACTGTGTGATGAATAGCTCAGAAATAAAAAATGACCCGCAAGAGCTTGACATTGGAGAGAATACACTGATGTGGAAGCAGCGGCTGTCCAATGGGCTGCATGTTGGCGAACTTACCTGACATCAGCTCTGTAACATTCAAATCAATTACAAGCTCTAGATGTGTAGCTCTGCTGTTCGCTGCTTCATGTATTACTTTCAAATAGTTTGAATATTTCTTGCAAATTACTCGTTTATGTAGCCTTACCAAATCTGAGCCACTCAAATCTACAGACAACGTATCCATGGCCTACAAAGCTGCACCCCTCACCTGACATGTAACACACCGTTCTGCACTGCCTCCCAGTGTAAATAATTACAGTCAGATGGATAAATCGCTCGTACAGGGGGTTTTATGTATACAGTTTATGTGTCACTTATACAAAAGAAATGGCTTCCATGACAAGGACTTTGTTCTTCTTGGAATGGGATCTAGAATAACAGTTTCCTATCTGTAGAAGAAGGTTGTATTATAACCAGTTATCCCTTATTGTATTTTCGAATAACCTACTACCAGCACCAGCTTGGGCACTCTGGGCAAAGCCAGGCTAGCTGATTCCCCTTCTTCCAGTCTGTCTGCTGAGCTAGGCTGAGTCTGGACGTCCAGGACGCTTCATGTTATCCGCTTCAGTTAACTTATTACATGGACTTTGTTATGAACACAGACTTTTTAAAAGCAAAACCCAGTTGGTTACTTTGTGCGTTGGAACTTTCACCGCAGGTTTTCTCTATCATTAAACTAAACAGAGTCTGCATGTAAACAGGATGAAGTTAGAGTTTGGTACCTGTTTCATAGAATCATTGCAATTTGAAAAAATAAAAAAAATGTTACTAGAAGTTTGTGTAATATCTTCTCTCATGTGATGTTCATGTATCTGTGTCTGGTGTGTAGAAAGCTCTTCCAACCAATAACAAGAGTGGAGGACCTACGGAGGTAAAGCTGATTGGCTGAATGACTTCCTGCTTCCAGCATCATGTGGTCCGCTCTGTTTCCCAAAATGCTTGCGGTCAAAGTGGATCTGGAAGTTTAAATTCTAATATTTATGTGTGATTTGAATTGGATGCGAAGAAAAATCCTAAATTCCAAGACTTTGCAAGCAGACATTTTGGGAAAGCAGCCACTGTGACTGTGTTGTGATTGGCTGGTCACTGTGATGTCATACAAGTTCACGCCATCTTGGTTTCAGCCTGGGACACGCTGAGCGGAGCAGGTCCAATTTGAACCATTGATAAAAGACAAAACTTAAACACCACCCACCCAGAGTGCCCCAGGGTACAGAAACAAGCGCACCACGACAGACTGCATCAAAGCTAACATCTGCAGTGTGTTTAATGATGTTTGACGTGTTTGGATTTGTAATGCGAACACAGTAACAGGCTAACGCTGTGGGCCACATTAGACTGATTATTTGGGTTTGCTTATTACAATTAACACCAAATGTTGAGGATGTCAAACGTTGTGTTCAAGTCCAAATACTCCATGATGTAATCAACTCCCACTGTGACTGAATTTTTCTGTCTTGGTTGTTAGAGTCACATGAAACATCTGTCCCATAAATTAACAAGGTGCAATGTTTGAAAAACTGTAGGCAGAACTGTTTCATGTGCTCCAAAACGTGACATTAATCCATGCAGCAAGCTAATCTTCCTTCCACAGGCAGAGCTCATGTGTTCTCCAAAGAACATTCATGGTATAGTTTTTGAGAATTTAAGAGTTTTTCTTTCATTTTTTGCACATTTTTAGATCAGTAGCACGCATCTCAGCTAAACACAGCTGACTAAATCTTAATTGTTGGACCAAATTTAAAACACAAAACCATCAGCACTGGGTGAGAAACCCCAAGGCAACCAAAACTGTTTTCTACCAATGTGAATACACGGGGGGACAATTATTTTAATTTCTTTTTAAAGTTTTAATGGTACAACACAGTTTAGTTTGAAACTGGCTTATACTGGAAATGTATTTCTGGAGGCCAAAAGGAGCGACGACGTGGCTTCAGCTGGGCTTTAACTGTGTGCAGATGATCATGTCTGTGCATTTAGTGTCGTGGAGAAAATCCATCTTCATCTAATTTTCTGTGACAGTCTCCATATGAAAGAAAAAAGAGCCAAAAAAAAACACTTCACCCAAAAGTCATTTGCCAATGCCAAATTTCACAACCGTGTTCTGGTTGCCAGTGCTGAAGGACCATGTTAGAAAACTCAGCCTTTTTCCCCCCTGTCAGTTCTGAACAATTCTTGCACTTGTACTTCTGCAAAGGATTTTGTTCTTATTCCGAGTTTGATGGTCTGACAACATATGACGAAAGTGTAGCTCAGTGTTGCTCATCGTCTGATTTGAACATCCTGAATACTGGGCTTCCCTCTCCCTCACACGCACTGACAACATCCACTGTATGACTGCACATTAGTCAGAAATTCCAAATTAATACCTCAGTCAGATAATCAAGTCTAATTTTTATTAACAGGAAGGAATACAGACGGGAAAACATGCTTCAGTGGAGGCATCATTCCCTAAACTGTGATGAAAACTTATTGTTACACTGCAGCTGCGTCACAGCGGCCACACTCAGACTTTGGGCATTTCCGCCTTGTCATCGTATTTAACTATGAGACTTTTCAAATTCGTAGCCATACATATGGCTCTGGTTCCCCTCTTCTTTATTTACGTACTTGCTCATTTATTTAATTCTCTTCCCTGCCAACTAAAGAGCAAACAAACGGAAACAATTATGAATCTGTTGCGGATTAGTAGCTGCTGAGCTGCTGACAGTATAAACAGAATTTCTATAGACCCAGATTAGCATTGAACGGAGCACAGCAGTTTAGCACAGAGCCATTCACTATGAATCCTTGAAATAAATTAAAGAATCTGAAGTTTAGAGCTGCACAAAATTAAGAAAAAAATATGTGTGGATGCATAAAAATTAATGATTTATTGTCACAAAAGCTGCTCGGAACTACTTCTTTACAATAAGATCTTTGAGTTTACACACAAACTTATGCAGCACATTTTAACAATTTGCTTCGATATGAGTTTGTCTGACCATTTAGCTTTTGAAATAACAGGCTTCTGTTCTCTTGGGGTTCAACAGAAAAAACTGTAAACACAACATTGATACACGTCACTTAATTCTTGCCACGAAACAGCTCTGACCCGCTGAGGGATGGACTCTACGGGACCTCTGAGGTGCCCTGCAGTGTCTGAAGATGTTTCAGGTCTCATCTGAAAGGCTTCTTTAGTTCAAACTGACTGGTGGGGAGTCCACCTTGTTTAAGCTCTGGTGAGCTCATGAACACCTCAGAAGGTGCTGATGTCACGTGTGAGCTGCTGACCTGCTCAGCCGTCATGTGAGTTGTTGGGGTCCCTGATTCAAGGTGTGAATGGGTGTTAAGCTGTCTGGGGAGGGATGTCAGGACTGTGCTGTAAGTCTCTGATAAGTGGTGCCATAGAGCACCTTCTCTTTTTAGTGATGGTCACTCCAGCTTCTGTCACCCATTTGTCTTTGCTGGCCAAAGTCTGTTCAGCATTCTTCTCCAGTGCGTGTCCAGTGACCTGTGGAGCTGACTCTTCTGGATTGTGCCCTGCACTTGTGAGATGGTTGTTTAGTTTTTACAACACACAGGCCTGTGTTCTGCTCACTGCATTGGACTGTGTACTCTACATTCCTCTGCTTATGTGTGGA